GCTAAGCCATCCAAAGGGATATATTATTCATTGTTTAAAATACAAACAAAATCACTGCTTGAAAACAGTTATTTAAAGGGTTTCTGCTATGTTTCTATTAGTAACAGCAAAAAATAAAGGAAAAAATCCTCAAGCAGGAGTGTAATTTAAGGATCACTGGTTAAGAACTACAAGATGTGGGTTCCAGGCCCCGCTGTGCTGCTCACAGAATGAGTGCAACTGGAGGAGACAAAAATTATAGACAAGTCCTGAATCCTAACTCTGCCCATTCCTTGTGGCCTTCTGCTTCCCAAGAGCTCAGAAGGAAATAGACCCTGGGCTCCCATTATCCTACTTGTGAAATACATCCTAATATCCACCTTCTTCAGCATGCTTCTGCATCTTAGCAGAAAAGACAGATTTTTAAGGCAAGAAAAGTAATAGCAGCTCAACAACCAACCTTCCTTCCCTGTCATATACACATTCAAATATGTACCGCCCTTCCGGCAGGGTCTAAGAAAGCCACTTCTAAGTATCGTTTTCAGTGTTTAATCCATAGAATCTCATTACTATCCTTATTTTAATCAGAAAAAAAGCAGATGAGCAACCAGAATTTAAGCTTCTATGTGCCCATGACACCCTGAATGCTATAATTTGAAATATTCTCAAGAATTATTGAAGTTGTTTGATTTAGTAATAACCTCTGAGATACCCACTCTATTACTAGAATAAAAACAAACAGTGTTATCCTGGGTGGAATCGCAAATAATTTTTTACTTTGATCGAGAATGTTCTAATTGGATAGGATTTCAACAAAAAGTAGAAGAAAGCATTGAAAAAACACTTGGGAAAGAAAACTTGAATGTTTTATCAGTTATGTATTCATGTTACTTAACAGTAACTTTAATGAGGATAAGAAGGGTAAAATGTTATTAACACAAAACGTCTTTACATCAAGGGCAACCAGGGCAACAGTTTGAGTGACATTTGCACTTTGAAGTTGTTCTCTCCTCAGCTCCACTGGGTGGTCTAATCCACAGAGCTAGGACATCTTTGGCGTCACAGAACTGATATTATTTCTCACTTCTTTGCTTGCCCTAGCCCTTTGGAAAAATAATTTGAAATTACTTTCATTATGGTGTATTAATTTTTAAAAGGCTATGGTAGTTAACTTTTAAACTGTTAGCCCTTACAGATTAAAAATAAAATACCTCGGTTCTCTAAAAGCCCTATATGGATCTTTAAATATAAAATCAATTTCCTTTTTTACTATACTCATGCCTCCCATCAAAATCATTTGACACCAGAAATTATTTTCTAAAGGAAGAGAGAGGCACTACACATATTTCAGCTCCCACGTAATAACACTGCAAAATGTGGTAACATCTGCATTTTTTCTTTACTAATTGCAGTGTTAGTCTGAAGTTAATTGTATGAAACTGATGTTTTTTCTAAGCACAACTTTTATATATTACATTTAGCTTAATTGGTACTTTGAATAATAAATTGTTTTTAGTGAGCACGTATTGTTTGATACTGGTAATGAAATGATTTTAATGTTCTGCTTAGCTATTATAAGAAACCTTATTTGTCTTAAATTTTTAAATGTAATTCTCAGCTGTAGCACAGTAATTAACCTGACAAGTACTTTCCTTTTTTTTTGAATTTTTTTGGTATAACAATATATAAAAGCACAGGCAGAAAATACTATATTTATACTGCAGCTACACGGGACTCCTTCAACTACAGATTTTTTTTGTTTGTTTGCTGCTGTTGCCTAGCAAATATTTTTGCATGCACCATTCTTTTGCACCAAAAGAACCAGACAGTGAACTGGGGTTATCATTGTTAGTAATAACGCCAGCATGGTCTTTAGGTCACTTATAGACCTGTTAAAAGAAAATCATGAAACAACATAAAATTGAACAGAGTTTATTTGAATTGGAAAAGGAAATCATATGTGAAGGAAAGGAAATTTCTTTTCTGAACCCATGAGCAAAGGATGATTCATGAATCTGTAGGCAACAAAACTGAAAAGAAGTTATAGACATCACTGTAGCAGCTGGAGTGCAGAGCTTTCGATAAATGGATTGGCTACTGCTAGATGTTCGCCTTATTTGGATATGCAAGGGGCGGGCCCAGGTTAAAGAATCAATCAGCTTGTTAGCTGCCTGAGATAAGCTGAAGTTGTACTCAAAATCCATCATTTACAAAGGAATACCGTATGTTAAGTTTCTGTTTGCTTACATCAACTTCCATAAGGGTTTCAGATAAACAACTACAGTCTCACTGCCTCTTGTGTATTTCATTTTAGCAGACCCTCTAATGTTAGATGGAACTGCAACATAACAGAATGTCCCCCTCTCTAATGACTTGACCATGGAATTGATATCATTCAGTCGTTCAATTCAACATATTTTCATTATGTTTTATCTGTGTAGGCTCTATTGTTGCTCACACTTGTGTGGGTAAAAAGATAAAACTAATTATTGAAAGACTGATTCTTGCCAAGAAGATTATAACTAGTTCAGATGATTGCTGGGGGCATTGTCTAATAAGACCTCATAAATAGTTTTCCACAAATTATATATTATGTGGTATCATCCTCCACATCATGTTGTACAGATAGTTAAAAGGTGTAACAGTTAGTGGAAAGAAAAGTCAGTGTAGGTTAAAATCATTTCGAGAGGTTTTGTGACAGAAGTGGGTTTTGAACTGAACACTGAACATATAGTTCAGATTTGGAAGCGGGGATAAGAGGAGACTCTCAAGGAGCTCAATAATGTGAGCAAAGACTTAGAGTAAGACCAGTTTTTGGAGGGTTCAAAGGCCTTAGGTCAGCTCAAAAAGTTGATATTGAGAAGATGTTTTCCAATATGTAGTGTGAAGTCTTCTTACAGAGGGCTAACAATGCCAGGATGAAGGATTTCTAAAATAATAATGAACCACTGAAGATTTTTGGATGAAGATGCAATCCATCCTTCACAGAAGGCTGCCCTGGGGCTCTGAGAACAGCCTAGAAGACAGCCTAAGGAATATACAAGCAAAAACCAAAACAAAACAAAAAGCTAGGCAATGTGGGGAACTAACACCAAGCCGGGGCACCAAGAAAGTCTTAAAGTAAGGATTGTCTGCCTTCGCAGGAACTCCCTAGAGTCTTCCTCTGGGGACAGGAGCTTTTCCTGAGTTGTAAGGATCTGTGAGTGAAGCTTCTGAAGGAAATGTGAATAGGTTAATCCAAATGCACATACAGGGATTTTTACAAATCCTGAAGTAATCACAATGGATTTCAGAACAATGAACTGGTACTGTTAGGATGAATGGATTAAGACAGTGAAATCAGATATAGAAGGGCTCTGGAAAAATAATTTCAGCAAATAACAAGTGAGCTGATAGGGGCTCAGGCAAAGATTTCAGTTATGGATATTACATAGTAGTACATAGGAACACTCAAAAAAGAAGTACAGAAATGAAATGTATTCCATTTCAAACCAAGGTAAAGAAGGCAATAGTGATGCTATGGGGTGGAAGTAAAAGAACCGGAAAAGGAAATCATACATGAAGGAAAGGAAATTTCTTTTCTCAGCCCAGTAGAGCTTGGTTGGAAAGCATTCACAGCATAGGGCCTGTGACCGCCATATTTTGAATTTGGAGAAACACTAAATCTCATGGAGTTTGGAATGTAGTTTCCTTTCTCCTCTTTGGCCTGTAGCTCATGATAGATTGGTATATTTAAGAGATTTCAATAACTGGGACACTATCTAATGTTTAAATGCTGGTAGAAATATTCTGAAATGTTGTCAGATAAAACACCTTGATTTTTGGATGGATGATCATGTTTTCAATGGAGATCATTATTTCAGTATGTAAGGAGGTTACATCTAGGTAATGTGTTTGATGAAATTTTTTCTCCAAATTAGAGCTTTCTTCTTAGTAGTTAGATATTATCTTCCAATAAAGTCACATCACTACAATAAAATGTGTTGTAAAGATGATTGGTCATAATGAGTTAAAATAGCAATGCTTAATTGAAAAATCAAATGAGAAGTTTAATAATAAGAACCATTTAACATTTGCTGTGTGTCAGGAACCATGTTAAATTCATTATGTGCATTATTGAATTAGAAAACAATCCTATCAAATATGTATTTTTACTACCCTCAGTATCCAGATAAAGAAAAAGTGGCCAGAGAGGCTATTACATAAATTGCCTAAATTGTGCCGGGTTAGATAAGGTTAGAGCCATGTTCCAACAGGTTGGGAGTGATCCTGAAATTCTTATTCTTAGCTGCTACGCTGTGCCAGGCTCTTCTGGCTTAAATAATCAAACAAGGTGGTCTTGAATTTTACTGTGTCTGTCAGCATTCCACCCACAAAAGTTATGATTTCTTTCATGTGTGAAAAGAACAGCATTTCATTTATAAAACATGCCATTGAATGTTTAGCAATCTATGTTCTTACATTTCTGGCAGTGCATATTTTAAAGGCTGAACTAGGCTCGGTGTAGTAGGAACTTAAATTTCTAGAAGCCATTTAAAAACATATTACAAGCCTTTTGCTGCCTTGATAAGTTTGTTATGGCCTAGGCCCTCCATGTACATCCTAAGCTTAGGTTGAGAATACGT